ACACACACACACACACACACACACACACACAAACACACACACACACAGGATGGCATGTGAGCATTAGTCCTGGAAACCATGATACTGCTGCTTACTCACAGCATGTTTAATCCACCAGACACTGAGATCATGGCCCTGCAACCCTGTGTGTGTGTGTGTGTGTGTGTGTGTGTGTGTGTGTGTGTGTGTGTGTGTGTGTGTGTGTGTGTGTGAATGCGTGCGCCCTCTAGACATGCATGAACACACACAATATATGATATACAGTAGTCATGTAAGGATGCTCCATAGTAAAATCAATCAAAGCGTCCCCACTCACACACAGGGGAGCAGCTCAGTCAGGCATCTCTTCCTCCTCTATCTCCATCAGCCGTGTTTGAAGTCTTTCATTTCCTGGTGGATGGTGGATTGAGAGCTCTCATGCATAAGGAACTCTTCTCCCGGTCCCTGGAAGCTGATCCCACCACCACTCCCATAATCACGGCCACATACACATGTATCACTGACAGCTCTTATTACTGACACTGCTACCAGTCAGTCAAGGCTGGAATTGAACCATTGAGACACGCAGGATACCTCCATTATCTTCCTGTTGTCATCATTTCAAGTGCAACTTCAGATGATCACCTCAGACCCCAGATCCCTACAAGGCATAAACATAAGAGTGGTGGTTTAGTTAAAATTGTTTATCCATATATATGGATTACAAACGCCTGTAAAAATAATTCTGCCACTGCGGAGCTCTAAGGCTTCCATAACAGCATAACTGCCGAATGGGTAAATAGTTACAAAACCATTACAAAGATCTATGGAGCAATAAAAGGGCTCATCAATATTAATGTCTCTATAAATATTATATCAAGTTCTCACCGGGTGGACGTGGGAGCAGGTTATTTCTCACTCTGCCTGGTTAGTTGTGACAGACTGGGGCTCGAGTCCCAAGAGGAAGAGATCCTCCGTCAGTTAGCATTACACATCGCACATGCACGCACACGTCAGCCCATGAACGTGTTTGATCACACACTCTCCCATCTGCCGGCAGTTAAATGTGAAAGTCCATGTGAGAAATATGTACGCAGTAGTTTATCCAAGTTTCTCCTGACAGCCCTGAGCAAAATGACCGGAAAATGTCTGAGGGAGCCCATGTCAGAATACAGCTGGAAAAATTCACAGCGAGGCAAGTTGATGTTTCGTGTTGATGTTTCAAACACATGACGGATGTGAAATTGGAAGAATACAAATATCTCAGGATAGAAAAGAGGTGTCATACGCGTAGAAGACTCAGACGAGATGTCAAAGTGGAAAGAAAACAAGATTCAAGAGCTTTTGGTGATAGTAGCCGGTGTTGATGTGCTGTAATCTAACACTCGTGAATAATGTTATTCATACGTCAAGTTCTGCTTCCTGAACGGGTCTGACCCAGAAATCTCCTGCTGCAATGGAAAATGTCCAGACCCTATTTTCCAGACAGCTTCATGTCAAAGAATCTCATGGCAGCTCCTTTACTGTCCTCCTCCAGTGAAAGGAGCAGTAATAGGGTCTCCACCAGCACTGACTGAAAGTCATTACGCCAACACAACACTCGGATTAGACCTTTATTCATGGAGCAGCTCGTCACACACTGAACCCTCTAAACAACAGGACTTCTCCTCAGATCGTCCTCTTTCTCTCCCGATTCCTCATGCGTGTGGTGGGAGGTGATGCATTTATCTTATGCAAATCGGTGTTTGACTGCCCCGCGTGTTCAACAGTTAACGCCACCTTCAGTCAATGGGACCTTAAAGCGTGATGCCGACACCATGGCAACAAACAAGCCTATTATGTAAATGGCTCTCGTATCGGCCATGCATGCAGACGAATCAGGCCAGAGAGCTGTAATCTGGGCGGAAGATAGATGGAGGGACATGCAGGGGAATGAGATGTGGAGAGGATGTAGGCCGAGATGATGAGAGAGATGAGTGCGTGTGTGTGCGTGCGTGTGTGTGTGTGTGTGTGTGTACTACATATATGTCAGAGATGAAGGCAGAGAGACACATCAACTACAGGAAGATACATTGTAGATGAATCAAGAAAAATGCAAAAGAGAAAGATACGGAGACAAGCGCATAATAAATACTGCATTCATTATAGTTTTCACTGGTTGGTCTTAATGAAGAAAGTAAATAAGATAACATTGCCTGATGCTCAGAGGGAGACTGAGATGTTTTCATGTGGCTCCACTGGAAACATCAGACTCTTGGTCGTCAGCCAAAGACTTAATCAACCATCAATTTGGAGCCGATGTCTAATGGCTGATGCCAACATTCATTATGCAGTGTTTTGAAAACCAGGGAACAGAAAAACTGACTAGAATAATGTCAAACTTTAATGTAAAAAAGAGGGTTGCATAAAGAAAGGGGAACATAAAGTTTTTGGAAAAGACACATAGTCTTTTTCAACTCCAAACGTTATATAGTTAGACATAGATTAAGTCATGTATATTTTTCAGTCCTCCATATCTGCATCATGCTGTAGACCTGAGCCGAAAGCGAGCACTAGTTTGTGTCTCTCATAAACTAGAAGTACTAGAAGTACTAGAATACATATCCTCTGATAAACATAGATTATTTAACAACTTTTAACAACCTTAATGAAAATGCAGCACAAAAATAATGCACCAGTTTCCCAAGTAGAAATGACAAATGTCCTTTATCAGCATGTAAAATGTAAATCAAAATAAAGCATTTATTCTAAATCATATTTATATACGTTGATGATTTGTTTTTAGTATCTTAAATTTTAATAACAAGGCCAAATGTAATTTCAGGCGCAGAAGTTTGAAGAAAAATTTCAAATATTCCTTGTAGGATGAAAGAGAACGCAAACATCCCTCACTTCCATGCACTCTGCCCTTTGTCCAAAGTGTGTCTGACTTTGTGTTTGCTCTCACAGCAAACGGGAGAGTACGCCACAGACGATGAGGACACGGGGACAGCGGTGGCAGGCGGAGAGAAGAGCATCGAGGTCTTTGATTTGCCAGAGACAGAAGACATCTTGTCTCCGTCGGAGTTAGACGCCAATAAACTCTACCAGAAGTTCAGAGAGGTAAACTCAGATACCTCCTCATCTGGAGTTTAATCCTGCCTCCTATGTATCACAATGTAAAGAATTGCATTACTAACAGAAGGCTACACTTTTTTCTGTAACTGCTTTGTGGAATAAATTGTAAATATATGCACACACCCTCTAGAAAAACCAACGGCACATACACAGCTCCCCCATCTTTACTCAGCAGATTTATATTCTAAGATCCACTTACCTTCCTAAATTTCTAATCTGGATGATTAGAGGTGTGAATACAAAAGCAAATTTGTCTCCAGACCTTGACAGCTCTTCACACCATCCGCCTCTGAAAATAGAAACTTGTTGAACTTTTGCTGCCACAGCGAACAAAGAAGTCACCTTAAAATCACGGCTTTAAAACAGAATAGGAATTCAGTGGCTGTTTGGTCGTTTATTCTTTTTAGGCTCCTGCAAAGCTGCTTGTATTGATTGAACAGTCCGGCACCGTTGGCACCATAACACTTCAGCCTTTCTGTCTGCCTCAATAGCCGTATGACACATTACACAAAGGGCTTCAGCTGCACTGCAGGCACCGAGGGGATATCGAGTGCAAGTATAATATAATGCCAGGTCTCTGGATGTTCGCAGTAGTTCCATTTTCTCTGTACCTGGACCTCCTTCTCTCCAATAGCTTTTACCTTACTTGTTTAAAGGTCTCTCGTCTTTTTTTGCACACTTAAAAAAAACTGGGCAGGCAGTAGGGGAATGAACCTCAGATTATGAAAATGCTTCATCTTGCAAATACTTGACCTAATTTTAAATTCACACTTTGACTCGTTGCTTAAGCTCCATAGCAGATTCAACAAAACCCAGCTTCATATATATCATTATATTGCTTATATACAAGTATATCACACTGTCTATTTGTCATTCTCTGCTCATATAGAAGACTTTAAAACCACAACCTTCACTCAGGAGCACAAAAAAAGTCTCAAAATATATAATAACTATCAATATCGACTGATGGTATAATTTTTGGGCCATATCGCTCAAGTAGTAAGTATAATACTGTAAATGTATTCAAATCCATATACCTGACAAGTGACAAGTCTCTATCCTTTGTGCTGAAACAAATCTAGTGTCAGACAATAGAAGACAGTGAGATGTTTTTTCACACTTTCTTATCATCATCACTTCATCACTCCTTTTCTCCATTTCTTTCTCACCTGCTTGAGTTTGTATTTGTTCACTTTTTGTGCCTCTTGTTCTGTATCCACTTATTTCATCACTTCTCCTCATCTCTGTGAGTGCTCAGCTCCATTGCCCTCTCTCTCTCGCGCGCGCGCGCGCATTTCACTTCAGAAAAGACTTTTTATCTTAATATTTTATCCAGCAGTTTTAGAGACTGCATTAGAAAAAAGTGATTTTTTTTTAAGGATTTTTTTCTCGTAAATGTGGATGAATTTTTTTTATTCATTGCTACATTAAAGTACTTTTTAAAATGATTTAACAATTCATCCGTCCCCCAGCACTCGCCCGTCTTCCTCTCTCCTCTGAGAGTTCATGTCAGAGCTGGAGCTGGGATGCTGTCGGGGGAGGACAGGGTCGGCCGCCTCCGTCCGTCACACTGTATCGACAGCAGAGAGAGGCTGCGCGGCCGTGCATTAGATTATCTAACCGCCCTCTCTTTTCTCTCCCATCCTCTTTTTTCTCCCAACAGCTCCAGATCAAACACACAGTGACCGAGGCCGAGATCCAGAAGCTGAAAAACAAGGTAAGAGATTAGGAGTGTCAGGGCGTGGGCTGGTCGTGGGTGAGAATTACAGGAGTTTGTCGAAGTTTAAGCGATTTGTAAATGGATGTGAGTCGCGTGTCGGGACAGCAGGGGAGCTGGGTTTCAAGCTTTAGGAGAAGATATTGTTCTTTAGAAGGAAGAAGCAGATTATTTTACAAAAACATGCTTATTAAGTAAAGTTTCCACTCAAGGACTTGTCTGGGATATCTTTAAAAAAAACATTCCAGCTTCCTGTGATTGGCTGCAATATTTTCCTTAGCAGTTGAATGAAAACAAAAGGCCTGGAAGTGCTTTCATTTCAGTATTGTTTATTTAGATTTCTAGAAAATCTTCCTGTTAGCACCTAATGTTACAAGAGTGTCTTTAGTTGTGTTTCTGTTTGTGTCGTCTGACATCTCTGTGTATGCACGTGTGCACAGGTAGTGGTGGGTCCATTTTGAAAGATAGAAATCAAAGTATTGAATGTGAATGAATTTCCTCTAAAACATTCTTTGAGAAGCTTTTCTCTTTTAGCAACTTTGTCAATTCATAAAATGTGAAATTTGTTTATTTATTATGTGCGACAAAAGTATTATGGCCACTCAAAGGGGGCTACGTATTATTTTACAGGGAGGAATATCAGAGGATTAGCCTGTAGCCTGCGTTAAATGTTATAAGGTATGCTTAAGTATACAAAAGAACCACTCAGACTTGAAAAGAATGGCCTTTCTCATGGAGGAGGAAATGTTTGGTAGTGGTGGACTGTAAGGCCGTCATTGGTTTATATCTTATGAGATCTTTTCATAAAGTTATAAATATAAATATTCCTACAAATTATGGGATCTGAAGGAGAAGCTCTATGATTCAGTCAATTGTGAAAATATCTTTTTTGCCTTTGTGAAAATCAAAGATAAAACCGAGTCCTTATATGACATTAGTAAAACTTACAATCAAATGAGAGATTCCCTTATTGCAAGTTGTTTTTGTCTGCCTCCAGCTGGCGTCAGTGGAGAGAGAAAAGCAGCGCTGGGAGAAGGAGAAGAGTCAGCTGAAGGCCAGCATCGACGAGAACAAGGAGAGGATGCTGAAACTGGAGAGCTACTGGATCGAGGCGCAGACCCTCTGCCACACCGTCAACGAGCACCTGAAGGAGGCGCAGGCCCAGTACCAAGCTCTGGAGAAGAAGTACAACAAAGCCAAGAAACTCATCAAAGACTTCCAGCAGAAGTAAGTGAACCTGTGTTAGAGCTGTTCATCCCCAAACTGTCTTCAGGGTGTGAAGGAGGAATATATTGTGACTATAACCTCCTGTAGATTCTGGAACGTTTTCCTTTATCGTTTTGATCCAGTTTCAAAAATATACTACAGTGGGGTCTTCTGGGAAAGTGGAGTTTTGGATCCCACTGTACTTCCTGCACATATTAGGAACCCAGAGCAATGACATCATACGACACCCACTCTCTCACTGTGAATTATCCAGAAACCTTTCTGCTGTATTCTCAAATGGACTCACTCTGACAATTTCTTGACTTTTTATTAGGGGGCTGGAGAGAAGAACTAGTTCAGTGCATGTCTGAAAGCACCGTTATTAGATTATGTCTTGTCAGCTCCATGAAGTCCTGTGTCTTTCAGGACCAGAACAGACTGTTGCCATAGTTTCATGTGGCCTGATGCAGAAACTTATATCTAACCTACATACTTCTTGTGTCTATTGTAAAACTGACACTCACACCGTTTTCCAAAAAGAGATTCACTACTGCTATTAAACATTCACATAAATATAAATAGTTTTAGATAAATTCCTGCATTCCTTCCACGACCGCCGTCATTCTCAGAAATAAAGAATATTTCCTATATTTCTCTCTTATGAGGCAGAACATTTCTTTTTATAGCCCCAGTCTTCTCCCACTCCAGCAGTAAGAGCTGAGTTTCTACTCTGATGCAGTGCAGCTCCTTTACTTTTCAGTGCGTTGATCTCTTTGGTCAGTCCCATCACAAACTCTCCCACTCAGCTCCAGTCTGAATGCTTCTAATTGGCTGTGGTCCTGCGGGCCAAATGGATGCCTTCTAATGAAACAAACTCTGCTCGCTGATCTTTAGTAGAGAACGGAGCGATAGAGGAGAGACAGCAAACTCCCAGACCAAGGGCAAAGCAGGCATGAGGAAACAGCAACGTTTATTATTCTCAGGGATGTGTGTGTGTGTGTGTGTGTGTGTGTGTGTGTGTGTGTGTGTGTGTGTGTGTGCGTGTGTGTCCATTTGTGAGATAGTTATCATTTTGTGGAGGCCATAGCAAAAACCACAATAACAGCAGTTACTGAAGGCAATTACCCAGCTTACAAAGGGTTTCTCCAGCTTCCATCCAACTTTTCATTAAGTGAAAGTTTAAATTAATAGTTTTTACACACATGGTGGAAAATGGCTGCTATTATTTATAATGCAACCAATGCAGGATATGTTAATTTCATATGCTTGCCAATGGGCACAAAACTTGGGGAACTGGAGAACTTGGCTCCTGGGAAGCTCAAACTACCCATGTCTTATTTTAATAGAAAACTTCTCCATTAGCTGTGTGTGGCGATGGAGGTAAATAAAAGACTGATTGTGAAATAATGAGTGCTCCAGTTGCTGCCTGGCAGCAGGTTTTCGAATCACTGTGAAAAGCAGTGAAATGGGAGAATAATGGGAACTATTAAAATTGCTATGAAGATTATTAACATGCCCACCTACAGCACACTGTGCTAGATGAAAGGAGATTGGCAGATAGGGGAGACATCCGCTTGAAACATTCGTTTGTTATGCTCAGAGATGATATCATTAGAGTATTAACAAGGTTGTGTTCTCTGGGCTCACATCCACAGAGGTGAGCGGCAGGGAGAGCGCCACAGAGTTTAAATAAAGAAGTGGATTTGTCTTCATTTACATACAAAACAACTTTGTCAAAGTTTGTATGATTTAGGCAGTGAGGGGGAAGACTACTGATGTGGAGTTGTTGTTACACTGGAAAAAAACACACTGACACACACATTATCAAATCAATAACAATTATCCTGATGACCTGGGTTTATTGGGTTGCCATCAATATTATTTACATTTTCAACACAAGACTCCTTCAACCTCTGAACATTCCCGTGTCCGTCCGAACGATTCAAACTTCATCATATCATCATAAATGTATAAGATAAATCCATTGCTGCACAGCAGGGCTGGGTTGTGCCTTTTTCCCAAGGCTGTGTCTCCATTCAGGGACTCCATCCTTCGGAGGCCCAACCAAAATGATCAACAGAGGATTTCCGTGATCGGCGTCACCAGCTCACCCCACCCTTATTGCTGTTGCCTAGCAACATAGCTGATATTGTATATAAATGTGTGTGTGTGTGTGTGTGTGTGTGTGTGTGTGTGTGTGTGTGTGTGTGTGTGTTCACTATGAGCAGCAGGGTCAGAGTAAAATGTAACACACCTAAAACAGCTTCAGCTCCCTTGTCACCACAGCTGTGCAAGGGGCAGGAACAGTCACATGGCGACACGCACACAAACACGACACACACTTAAATGTGTCCTGTTGTGTTTCCTATCTTAACACACACCTACTCAGTACAGTACTATCTCTTTTTCCCTCCAGGGAGGTGGAGCTTATCCAAAAGGAGGATACAGAGAGGAGGCGGCTGGAGGAGGCTGAGAAAGCTCATCTGGCTGAGATCCAGGGGCTGCAAGTGAGGGTAAATCATCTCTTCGTCTTAATCTCATTGTGTCCATCTCTCATCATCTCTGCTCTAATTGTGTATCTCTCTGTGCTCTGTTGTTCTGTCCGTGCCTGAAAGATTCAGCACATTGTCCTCAGAAATCCCTCAAGTTAAAATAAACCAATAAATGGAGCCCGATTGTTATGGATTTTGGGGAGGCCGATGTTGATACTGATATAAGAGGGAAAAAACTTTCCAGTGAGTGCACACATATTGACCGATATGTACGCAAAAAATTGGCAATGAAGATGACATTATAAAATAACAAGGAAATGCAATTTAGACTATAAACTTTATTATAAATAACAAACACAAAAACAACCAGACATACCTACAAAAGGTTGTGCTCTCAATGTGTTAATAAACATTTGACTCTTGTGATAAAAGAAACTACAACAGTCTGAGTCTTAGCCCATATATCCACTGTCTACCCAGGGAGGCCCTTAAATACTGTCCGTTTTCCCCTGAGGCAAATTCATCGCCAAACAATCGCAGATGGGCTTTAAGATTGGCCGACCAATGAAGAAGTTGGATTCTACTAATAAACAATGCTTTTTTTCTCTGCGCTTAATTAAAGCATGTAACAAGATTGTTGGGTGTAGTGTGAGAAATTCAATTCCAAGCATCTTCAAAACGATCAGTAGCAGCACTCCATTAGCTTTCTGTGAACAACTGTTCACTCCCTGGACAGTGACAGCTGATGGACTCGGAGTCCAGGAGCCTGTGGTTAGATTGGTTATTGTAAATGATTTTCTATTCTCTTGCTCTTAAAACGTGACAGTTTGGTGCTCTGGTCTCAGGTCGAGCCCCACAGTTGAATTTGTCGTCAAGGCGACTGTCCCCCTCTTATTATTCTGTCCACTGAGCACTCACTCTCCTACTGCACTGTCAAACAGGGGGAGTGACACAGGCCGGAGAGGTGGAAAAAACACAACAAGATCTGGAAGTAAAACCAGAGGAGTTACGCTTTAACTAAACTGACATCCTTTTAAAATGTGCTGTTGATTCAAATGTTGGCAGATTTAGCCAACTCCTGTTAGAAACTGTTGGAAATCGAATGAAAACATACTCCTCATCATGTAGGCCATTCTCCTCAGCACTTTAGAGCAGCCATTTTGACAGGTAAATGACCCGCGGCTGATTAACATCGACCGCTTCCTCTCCCGCCGCAGATTGCAACATTAGAGTCGGAGCTGATGCAGCTGATGAAGCAGAACGGCATCCAGGTCAACAACAACAACAGCAACAGTGCAGAGAGGCTCAACGCGCAGCAACACAGCCCCGTGCGAGCTGCAGCACAACTCAGAGGTGTGTCTGTGAGGATCAGTGTCGTGATGTCTTTGATATAAAGGAGCGATGTGTGGAAATGAAATGAGTGTGGGAAATAATGTTTATTCAGTGTCTTGCTGAGAGACAGATGAGAGGATCGGTACCACTTTCCTATTCAATACAATAACTTAGCTTAGCACAATGACAAAGTTCTTTGAGGGATTCAACAATTGACCATAACCATAGACTGTATACAAAGATGGACGTACAAAATATCCCAAGTTCACGTGAAGCTCAGCCAATCGTGAGGCAGTCTCAGCTGTCAATCATGATGTTTCACCTTGTTTATATATCATCAAATAACTAATTAAAACCAAACTTACTAGAAAAATGAACACTTGAACAAACATCGATGTGATATGAACTGATTAAATGGACAGAAGCCATCTTTGAAAAATAATTATTTCATGTGTACTTTGACTTTTTAGTTTGGTCCATGTCACATCTGCTAACATGGAGGAGGCAGGGTTTATGATCTAAACTGCAGCCGGCCAACAGCTAATCGCTCCCTTGCTTCAGCTTCATATTGAACGGACTGATATGAGAGTGGTATCGATCTTTTAATCAAACTTTTGGCAAGAAAGCGAATGATTGTGACCCTGAATACTTCAAACCATTAATTTAATGAATAGAGCAACTTCTCAAATAAGAGAGTAAACATGATCATGACTTCTTGCCTCTCCTCCAGTTTATGTCTGAGAATGTGCTCATGAACAAACGTTTGGTTTCCCAAAAGACCTGATTGTTTAAATAAACTGTGGACAGAGAGAAGTTGTTTGTCCTCAACAACTCTGCCATAACCTTTATTTAGCCTCAGCAGTTTATTGACGCGTCTTGCCCTATGAAGGACATTGCAAAGACAGGACTGTTTTGTTTGGCTGTAAACAAACTCACACACACTCCCAAATCCTGCTCTTCCCCGCTGCCTCAGCATTCACACGCACTCTCACCTCTGACCCTAGTTTCACTCTGCACCTCTGCAGTTACAAAATAAACAAGTAATCCATTTTTCGAGCACATCTGCCCGACTTTGTTGTCTGATACTGTACAGTGCAGACGGGGTAACACAGTGATTGGATGTGTACTGATCCGGATGACGCAGCCCATAATGCAATATTAAAAAAGTTTAGAGGAGGCATGATTGGTGAAGGATAATAAACAGAGTGTATGTGGAAGGTGAACACCATCAGCTGAGGTTATTGTTTTCAAAGATTCAATCTCTGTCTCATCTGACAGTGAGCAGACACCTGATAGTTGCCTTTTTACTTAGATAATATAATATAATATAATAAAGTGCCTCAAAGATAAAGACTGAAACAAAATCATGCACAGAGTTAGATTACACAATGATTTTTTCATCACAATCACAGTTGTTTTCCTCTCTCTCCTTGTCTGTATGTGTGCCTGTGTGTGTGTGTATGTGTGTGTGTGTGTGTGTGTG